CAAAAAATAATAGGAATTTATCATCATTAATAAAAGTAGACAACACACCTTACAAAACTTATCATAATTTTTTATTTCTCTTATCATTGGTTAGGAGAGCTCATATACCCTCTGCTTTTATGTATTTTATAGGCAGTCTACGGCACTCTTTTTGAAGCTGAGCACAGATCCACTTTCTACATTCCATATTGGAAAATTCCATTGGCAAGGTGGATAGTCCCAAGGCAAAGAAAGTTTCACGATGACCTAAAGATCATCAATACTTGTCTGGACGAACTTATTAGAAATGCAAAAGAAAGCAGACAGGTTAGCAATACTTTAATTTCATAATTGAATATTATGATTGATTGCAGGAATCAGTATCTTTGTTAGACTGCCACATTATGTTGTCTGTACATGACATGGTCTTTAAATCATTTTATCTGCAGGAAACAGATGTCGAGAAATTGCAGCAGAGAGATTACTTAAATTTGAAGGTGTGTTTATCTCGATGGATTTAATGCCAATTACTAATATTAAACTATCAGAATACGTACCTGAAAACTAGGAGTTCTGTCAATACCACCAAGTTTATTAAGATAGGACTTTACAGGATGCAAGTCTTCTGCGTTTCTTGGTTGATATGCGGGGAGCTGATGTTGATGATCGTCAGGTATATCTATTCCTAATTGATCAAGGTTACAAAAAACCATCCTGGCTAAAATCTGGTTGTTTTGGATAAGCGGCAAAACTGCTTGTTGGGACCATATGTTTCATTTCAAATAGCTCTTCAAAGTAGGCTGTTCTTACTCTTTCTCTGCCCCAGTTGAGGGATGATTTAATGACAATGCTTGTTGCTGGTCATGAAACAACCGCTGCAGTTCTTACTTGGGCAGTTTTCCTCCTAGCTCAAGTATGTTTGTCTAATGTACCTGAAAGTGCCATGATAACGTTCATTGTTGGTGGTCATGACTTTCTTCTGAAATTCGTTTTTGTGCAATACCATTCTAATGCTTACCAATTTCCTTATTACAGAATCCTAGCAAAATGAAGAAGGCTCAAGAAGAGGTAGATTTGGTGCTGGGTACAGAGAAGCCAACTTTTGAATCACTTAAAAAATTGCAGTAGGTTCCCATTTCATATTTACATTTATATTCAATGGAACCCACTTTGATGATTATTATTTAATTCAGAAAGATTAACTAAAGTTATAACAAATGGAAATAATTTTATTCTCTATAGAAAAGGGAGCAAAATATGTAACATGTACACGTAAGACAAGCATTACAAGTAGTTACTTTCAATTATTTTCTTCATGATGTCAACTTTATAAACAATTAGCTTTCTTGCAACGCATGGTTTTCAATGAATATCAGAGTTGAATGTAGGGTGATTTTGGGGAATATCACGTTCTGCTGTGCCAACTTAGCAACAAGAGGAAAATAGTTTGTTAAATACTTTGTATGCTTTCAGGTATATTAGATTGATTGTTGTGGAGGCTCTCCGTTTATACCCCCAACCACCTTTGCTGATTAGACGTGCACTCAAATCTGATGTCTTACCAGGTATTGATTACTAATGATTACTTGATAAAGATGGAATGGAAACAAATTACATTTATCGTTTTTGTTGCTTGGTATCTAAAATTCTAAATATTGAGTATTAAATTTGTTCAAGTGTTTAGAATCCCAACCATCAACACACAATATGAAAATCTTGATAGGAACTTGCTATTATGGATTGCCTAAGTCCTACATCGAGTAGTATGATATGCTCGGTGGAGTATTTAACTGTTTGGTTATCCTCTCTTAAAGAGTTTGCTTTTGAGTGGGGTTTACCCAAGTGCTTCTGTGCTTATCAAATGTTTTAGGGAATATCAGTCATGAAAATTGATCATGTATACTGTTTGGACTTCTTAATTGATATACTTTACCCAATTAACATGGGCAACATGGATTGGAAGTCTCATACATAACAGTGCATAATATAGAACAAATTCCAACATCAAAATAGTGAGTGAAATAAAATAATTTGAGTAAAAGATAATACAGTGCAGAACAACCAGATTTCAGAAATCCTCTGAAAATGGGAAGAAGAAATGCTGAAAATACATCAACTAAAAGAGCTAATCAGTTTCCTATGCTTTATGGGACAAGGAGACAGAACAAAACAAGCATATTCCACAAAATAAGGATGAATAGATCTCTGGTCGTGCACACTTGCTAAATGGACTGCATTCTAGCCACAAAAACACAATTCCACAGCATCTTTGCATTTTTCTCTCAAACATTTACCTGGATTGTAACAGTTCAAAGCAAGGTGAACAGTGAACAAAAATCAACAGTGAGATGGGTATGTATTATGAACCAGAAACTGAAATAAGGATTCCCTTATGAATGAACCCAAGGGATAGCTTTGATAATTGGACTGAAGGGAATAAAAAACGCCTAGAAAAGAAGCTTGGTAGGTAAAGGAATACAAAGAGAATGTATTTCCTTATATTGAGGTCAAATAGTTTTAAATTAGATATGATTTTTAAAATAATTATAAAAAAGTCAATAATCTTACTAAACATGACAACCTATGACTTTCAACAAATCAGAAAAAGAAGCTTGGTAGAAGGTGATATAGCTGGGTAAAGGAATACAAACATAATCATTTCCTTAGATTGAGATCAAATAGTTTTAAATTAGAGTTCCATCACCACGTATTGTTAGTCTAAAGATATTTAGAATTAGAAATCATATTTAAAGTAAAATATTGGGAAAGCTCAATAATCTTACTATATATGACAACCTGTAATTGGGTGATAGTGTACCTTTTCAGTGTCAATTCATTCTAATTAAATTCTTTTAATTGTATGCATTCATTAATTCGGATTAAAAAATCTACATACTTTAATCAATGAAAGAGATCAAACAGATTTATTTGTTTAGACATCTTATGCGTCATCTATTAAACGATTACTTACTAGGAATCTGTGTTTTTTCAGTAGCTGATATTTTATGTTTTACAATTGAGTAACGTAACTATTTCTTTCTGGTCTAGTTAGTTTTATTAGTTAATTTTTATTTTTGTTTCCATTCGAGCTTCTATTAGTATCAATGAACTTTTGTCACTCCTCCAGGAGGGCACAAAGGTGATAAAGATGGTTATGAAATTCCTGCGGGGACCGATGTCTTCATTTCTGTGAGTACAAAACCATACGTGGCTCCTTGTTTCTTTTATGAACAAATACATGGATTTTATAGATCAGATTGCTCAACGTTATATACATGACAAGTTCCCTTTTGTTAATGTCAGAATGACACATTTAATATACAGTTTCTTAACAACCAAGAGAAGGGTACCGTGTCGGAGTTCCCCCACAGTTGTTGCAGTTTTTTGTTTGTAACTTTTGCGTGGGGAAATAGGCAATCCTGTAGGTGGGCCATTTGCATTCGGGATCCAAGACATGCCACTTTGCTAATATCGGAGTAATCCTTATCCCCCCCCCCGCGGCAATAACCTATCCATACTAGCCTTTTTGTTATCTAAAAAAAATCAAGAGAGTACTCAAAACTTGGTTTTACCATTGACACTTCAATACAACCGTTTGTGGTTATTTTGCTTTTGCAGAATTTCACTTCGTATATTTGAAATCGTACTTGATATTTTTATGGCTGCTTAAATATTCCTACATCCAGGTATATAATCTCCACAGATCTCCATATTTTTGGGACCGCCCTGATGAGTTCGAGCCAGAGAGATTTCTAGTGCAAAACAAGAATGAAGAAATTGAAGGATGGTCCGGGTTTGATCCATCTCGAAGTCCTGGAGCCTTGTATCCGAACGAGGTTGCTTCCTGCTGCTTTTTTTTTTTTTTCCTTTTGTGTTGACTGATTCCTGAACATTGATAAGAAATGTCTACCTGATCAGATTATATCGGATTTTGCCTTCTTGCCTTTTGGTGGCGGACCACGAAAATGTGTAGGAGACCAATTTGCTTTGATGGAGTCTACTGTAGCGTTGACTATGCTGCTCCAGAATTTTGACGTGGAACTGAAGGGGACCCCTGAATCGGTGGAACTAGTTACTGGGGCAACTATCCATACCAAAAACGGAATGTGGTGCAAATTGAAGAAGAGATATAATTTACATTGACATATTGATGGTGTACATTTTTGTATACAGAATAATGTATCAAATTTGGAATAGCTGAAATTGAACAACAATTTCAGCTGTTTTTCCTGAGAAATAAGTTATTTGGAAAATAACTATTGTTTGGACAAAAGTTTTTCATAGCAAAAAAGGATATGTATTAACTTGAAAAAGTTATGTTCGGATTAAAGTTATACGGGATTTTGTGCGAATTCCAGTAAACAAGTGAAGAAAACAATTGCATTAGGATTGGACAGCATTTGAGTTTTTCCCAATTTTAATCAAAACACAAGAAGTTGTTGGAAAAGTTTAAGATAACTTGACGATAATATGTTTGAGGGAATTAGAGAAAACCGTTGGCCAATAATCATCAACGATAAATTTTGGGATACATTAAAACGATCTTGTTTGTTTTGTTTTAATATAACTTTAGCAAATTTTAGTCATTGTTTCAGCGTTTTAGGTACAAACTCCATTATCTTCCTCTTTGTCAAAGAGGGTTCCCATTTTTTCATTCCGACCCCTGGCTTCCTAACGTTCATCTCTGTTTTCAGCGGAACCTGACAACGACATTTATCTCTATTCTCATAAAATTTTTTCAGCCCTCTTTGTTGCTATGTTCATCATACTCCAGAAATTTCCCTACAAAAAAATTTCCCCAAGTATTTCGCTACCATAGGTGAGAGTAACAGAGTACCTTTGCCAATATTTCCCCTGTTTGTAGGCACCCCAACAGCAGCAAGTTATTGTCAAATAGGTCCTTCATTAAAGACTCTCTTCATGTCCAGTTTGTGGAAAAAATTGCAACAAGAAAATTCCCTGATTAACCTCTGTTATAGCTACCCCTTTAACTGCTCTCCACAAGCTCGCCATTATATCTTTCAGAATCTGAGCCCTGACCGTTTATTAGTGGCAAACCTTCCAATCATACTTAAGGAAACATCATTACTCTGTGTTGGGTCATCAACTATGTCGAACATCATCCCTTCAACACCATCTTCCACCAACGAAAGCTCCTTCTTCATGACGATAGCCAAACAGGTGGAACCACCACGAACCACACGCCGCCACACTACAAAAGAAGAGGGCGCGCACCACAGATAGAAACTAAACCCTAGCGAGCTACGAAAAACGCTTCTCACTAGGAGAGAGAAAGGACATCTCATAAGGAGAGAGAAAAACATAGTTGAAGAGTAGTTCATTTTATCTTCTTTATTATTTATCTAATCATTTTATGAAATTATTACACTAACTATATTCGAAATTAAATTTATATCCTATTTGATTTAAAAATTACACTTAACTCATCTAGTGTAACATATATGATAAATTGTTTTTTAAAATATAAGAAATTATTCTAGATTTATAATTTATATTGAGATATAAGATTATTTTAACGATTAATAATTTTTAAGAAAATATTAAAATTAAAATTAAAATTAGAAAAAATAACAAATAAATATTGAAATACATAATAAGTTAAAAACAAAACTCTAAATCACTTTCGTTAACTCCGAAAAAAAAACAATAATTTAAGTTATCAAATAACCAATTTACTCTCTTTTTTTCGAGCACTTTATTTAACAACTTTCTAAACCTTGAACCCAAAATTCCAGTCCACAACTTTCTCATGATTCACTCTTTTGAAACACTCATTGAACTAAAAGGTGCAAAATTACTCCCACATTTATAAGTAGAGGAACTCCATAAGAATTAACTTGACATAACCTAAGATTTTCAAAAGGTAATCAATGTTAATGTGGTTTAAAAGATAATTAACGCATGATAGAGCCAGAGAAAAGAAAAAGTAGCTCTGGTACTTGTGGCCTTCTCCAGTGACGGTTGCAAGTCACCTTTGCCGCCATTTTGGGCTGTGGTTTTTGGGCTTTGAGCTTCTAGACGTTACTTCATACAATTCATGATAAAGAAAAAGAATAAAACCATTGGAGTTTGTAATTAGAAAGCAATGGAGTTATATTGTGATTTGATTATTGGAGTTTGGTAATTTGCTACAAAAATATGGAGCCTTGGTGGGTTTGGTTTGGGTTGTGTTGGTAAGTGCCACCTAAGAATCCTCGAATAGAGATAAATGTACAATCTACTTTTGGAGTCTTCCTTCACATCCTTGTCTATTTGTCTTGATAGAATAAGATATTAGCAATTGTAATTGTATGGTCATCGCTTTGCAAAATAAAACAAAACCCATTTCTTGGAAGCATTTTGGGAGCTTTCTTGCCCTTCTCACTCACCCCACTAGGAGACAAATCTGAGGCCAATGTTTGTCTTTGCTAAGGCATGTTTGGATTCTTGCAAGCTTAGGGAATATTATAAGCCCTTTCCCCACCCCCGATTCCCTATCCACCCAAGGTAAAGACAAACGAAGGAGTCTAAACACAACACACAAACCTTAACCTTGGAGTGTGTTGAGTTGAGTTTAGTGATGAAACAAACACACCTTCTAGATCCTCTAGAGAGAGAAAGGACAGTTTTAGAACGATAAAGACAGAAACAACCGAACCAAGACTCTCACCAATTCCACACTCCACTAATAACGAGTGAAGGACAACAAAACAATAAAGACAAGGGAACCCCTTCACGCATTGTCCACACACGACACCAGGTTGCCTTCCCTCACCATGAACCAGTCCTTCAATCCACTACATCGCTCCAAACATTCAATTCCACTCCCACACAAAACCCACCTCAAACTCCTCAACCTCACTCTCTAACGCTTCTGCTTTTTCGGACTCTTCACATCACCAAGCCTCGCCATTTTCAGGGGGCTTCTTTTCGTTTCTTCTTCAATTGCAAAACCCATCATCAGTTTCGCTTTTTCTCTTCGATTCTGAGAATGTGGTTTGGGTAGGATTCTCACCTTTTTTCATCAACGCTTCCTCACTTTGCTCCATAACTATTTCCTAAAATTCCTGCAAAAGGTCCCTTTACCTTCACCTTGATACCATCAATTGTATTGCTTGCATTGCGAGGTGTTTGATAGAGCCTCGAAGGTTTGATCAAAGACTGTTCATCTCTTGACCATTATTACCATTTTACCAACATTTTATTATCTCAAAGTCTATACATAAGATTGCTGCCGTTGGTTTCATGGAATCTATGTTTCAAGAAGAAGGGTCATCTTCTGTAACTTCTTCACCTCTTCAGTTCTTTTCCATGATGTCTCTTTCACCTGGCATAGGATCTCCCTATCCTTGGCTTAGAGAACTGAAATCTGAGGAAAGGGGTTTGTATTTGATCCATTTGTTGATCGGTTGTGCAAATCATGTGGCTAATGGTAGTCTTGAAAATGCAAACGTGTTACTTGAGCAGATTTCTCAGCTTGCCTCGCCTGACGGGGATACTATACAGCGAGTTGCTGCATATTTCACCGAAGCACTCGCTGATAGGATACTGAAAACATGGCCGGGCCTCCACAGGGCTCTCAATTCCACCAGAATAGCTATGGTGTCTGAAGAAATTATTGTTCAGAAGCTCTTCTTTGACCTTTTCCCGTTCTTGAAGATGTCATATATTCTGACAAATCAGACTATTGTTGAAGCCATGGAAGGGGAGAAAATGGTGCATATCATTGATCTCAATGCGGCCTGGCCGGCGCAGTGGGTTGCTCTCCTCCATGTTCTGAGTGCACGCCCTGAAGGTCCTCCCCATTTGAGAATTACTGGGGTGCATCACCACAAAGAGGTTTTGGATCAGATGGCTCATAAACTCACTGAAGAGGCAGAAAAGTTGGATATCGCATTCCAATTCAACCCTATGGTAAGCAAGATAGAAAATCTAGATTTTGACAAACTTCGCGTAAAAACTGGGGAGGCACTAGCAATAAGTTCTATTCTGCAGTTACACTCCCTTCTGGCCTTGGATGATGATGCCTCGAGGAGAAGATCTCCTCTTCCGTCAAACAATTCAAATGCAATTCACCTGCAGAAAATCCTGCAGATGAACCCAAACACACGCGGTGACTTGGTTGAAAAGGATATGGTTCATGGCTATAGCCCAAGTCCAGATTCAGCCTCAGCCTCGTCCTCCCCCGGTTCTTCATATGCGTCAATGAAGTCGGAGAGCTTTCTCAATGCCTTGTGGGGGCTATCACCAAAGGTCATGGTTGTGACTGAGCAAGACTTCAATCACAACAGTTCAAACCTGATGGACAGGCTGCTAGAATCTCTAAACTCTTATGCTGCTTTGTTTGACTGTTTGGAATGCTCTGTCTCTAGAGCATCCTTGGACAGAATCAAGATCGAGAAGATGCTCTTAGGTGAGGAAATCAAGAACATCGTAGCTTGTGAGGGAGCTGAAAGAAGGGAAAGGCATGAAAAGATGGATAAGTGGATCCAGAGACTTGATCTATCCGGCTTTGCAAACATGCCTTTAAGCTGTCAAGGTATTGTGCAGGCAATGAGGTTCTTGGAGAGCTATGGTTGTAATGGGTATAGGATGAGGGAGGAAAATGGTTGTGTAGTGATTTACTGGCAGGACCGTACCTTGTTTTCTGTGACAGCTTGGAGATCAAGGAGGTAAGATAGTTTGTTGAAGAAGCATGATAAAGAAGAAGATCAGTGATGTAGTGATGGATAGATTCTCTCTCTTTCAAACTTTTTATTTTCTTCTTTGTTTCTAATTGTATGAAAGAGTTTTACCAATATATGGTAATGGCCAGTAATGAAGATCAATTCAGAGATAATACTAAACTCTCGAAAGAGAGAAATGGGGGGATGAAAAGGTTTGAGAGAGTGAAACAATTATTTCTAGTTGTGTCCACTTTTACATTGTTTAGTGCTATGCTCGCTTTGTTCTTCACTAATTCTTATACTGTAACCTCTCAGCATTTGTTGTGTAAGACCTAATATAAGCTTATTTTTAGTGCAAACTTTCATTGAAGTCTTTTTCCCTTTTCAATTTTTAAGTTTAGCATAAGCTGATTTTTCAAATTTCACACTTGTGTTGAATCTCATTCCCCCATTTAGCAAAATCCCATAGCCCCAGACACAAACGTCTCTTTCGACAATTCCTGCATTATCTCATCAGATAGCAACGGTTCACTGGAACAGCAAAAAGAACAAGATTGGGAACAGAGAAACATTGCCCTTATGTTTGTCATTTTTTGAGGCATTCGGAGGTTTACTCTGAAGAATATTTTAAATCATCTGATACCATCTTCTGAAATATTATCTTAATATAATCACTTAACAAAGAAAAAAGTTAATGAACTCGTAAATTATTTTTAAGTCAAACTTTGACTGCATTTCTGTTATCATTTAAGGATTATTATCAATGACATCACGTTTTAAGCATACACAGAAATGCATGCATTCGCAACTATATAAAGCAATCAACTAAACTTACATCTCACCTTTATAATTTTATTATGTTTTGAATTTTTTTTATTCGTGTTTTTCCCTTCAATTTTTATTTTCAAGATTTAGAAATATGATATTACCTCATTGGTGTGAAAATTAAATATAATACCTCACTCGCACATTGATGGATAGGGGTTCCATGAAATAAATTTATCATATGTAACTATTTACAATATATTTTGTTTTTATAATTATTTTCTGATTTAATAACTTTATTAATAGATATGCATATAGATGTAGCTTTATATAATTTCAATCTTAACTTTCAATCAACCATTATAATCTTATTACTTATTTTTTTTAAATCATTCTAAATTTCAATGTATCACTTTCGGACTTCAATCGTTATTAGTTTTCTTCATGTTCTCAGTCAATAATCAGTATATCCTGACCTATCTCGGGCCTGATCTAATTCATTTTTAAATAATGTTTCTTAAAATGTTATTTTAAAGTGTGTTTTTTACTTAAAAAAAAATTCCCATGACTAATTTTTGTGAGTATTTTGGTTTTATGGATTTTTTCGGGTTATAATTTTTTTTTTCTTTATCCATGTGGATCAAAATCACATATTGCGTACGGAGTCAAATTCAAATAACGTGCATATATATTTCATATTGAAATAAAAAATTTCACAATTTTTTTAGTAGATTTGAAAACTAATATATATGAAGTTCCACTTTCAGTATATATTCATGTTTCAAACAATTTCTAATTGTTTGGGTGCAAAGGCTAGGCAGGGAAGCAAGCCTCCAAACATATCTGAGGCCCATTAAGCTAGGAAGATGTGTGAGGCCCATTAGGCCTGTGACTAATTAAAACTCTGGCTATAATAATAATAATAATAATAATAATATAAAATAATAAACAATATTATATTAAGTAAATATTATTCACATAAATTAAAGAAAAAAAGACGGGATTTTAATAGTTGGATTGAATAAAGAAGAAGAAGGGATAAGATTGAATAAGAAAGTTGGAAGTGAGTGAAGAGAGTGTGGTGTTCTGAGTTCATGACAGAGAGTCTCTGAAATGGGGTTCGCTTTGCCGTACACAGCTTCAACCTCCGCTAATCTTCCGAACCTTCAATATCACTCTCTCTTTGCTGCATTGAGATCGAAACCTTCGCTCTATCTATTTGCTGCATTGAGATCGAAACCTTCAACCAAACGCATTCGAAAACGTTTTCCAATTATTCGCGCTAAATCTGAAAATGGAGCTCTGGTTAACTCTGAGAAGCCCGACACTAATTACGGAAGGAAATACTTCCCCCTCGCTGCTGTTGTCGGCCAAGTAATTTCTAATCTCTGCTTCTTTCATTCAAATATGGCTTCCAATATTCCTTTCTCTTCCGAAACAATAATTAGATATTTTTTTCTTGCCTTGCTCTCGTGTGTTTATTTGGTAACTGTTTACTTGTCTAACTCAATGTGGCATTGCCTTCTAAATATAATTTTCTCTTCAGATTTTCCTTATGAATATTAAATTATTATATAGAGGAAAATGTGACGCTGGATTATTCAAAAAGGATTATAGGTGGTTTGAATAAACAGTTAATGGAATTTTGTTTTTTTATGTCAAGAAATGATCTGAGTGGAGAGAAAATTGTCGGGTAGGTAGCTCTAAATTGTGCGGTTTTTATCCTTAAAGTGTTTTGCAACACATGTTAACAATGCAATGACTAAATATGCAAATGCATATCAAATTTGGTTTTCTGTTGAAGGATGAATCTTACAAATTCCAGTTGTTCTTCAGGATGCTATAAAAACTGCTCTTTTACTCGGGGCAATTGACCCTGGGATTGGAGGAATTGCTATATCGGGAAAGCGAGGAACTGCCAAAACTGTAATGGCACGAGGATTGCATGCAGTACTGCCTCCTATTGAAGTAGTAGTAGGTTCCATAGCCAATGCAGATCCATCTTACCGAGAAGAGTAAGGTCACTTGTTTCTTCCATTTATAAGAAAACAACGTTACTATTCTAATTAATATGAAAGGTGACATTGTTTTTAATGTCATATAAGTATATGTTCTCTTAAGGGAGGAGCACATCAACATTCTAATCCTACGGAGTGATTTTATTCATACTGTTTTGGTGGAATATGGTTTGGTCATTCACATTGATAATGCTGTTAATTGTTCTTGTTGTATATCCATTTGCTAAATTTGCACGTGTCACCTTTGAGATATGCTAATTCACCCTATTAGATAGAACTAGCAATTGCTTTCCTCTCTTCTCTTGTGAAGAGTTATGAAATCGATCTTTGATAGCCCTGAGGATAACCCTGATCTTTCTAATCAGAATGAACAATTTTACTGGTTCCTATTATTGCTTTTATCCTTGACACTTTGACTTCATAAATTTCTTGGATTCTTCTCTTTCCTTTGTTCCATTATTTTAAATTTAGATCTGGAGGTTAATTTTTGTAGGTGGGAAGATGGTCTACCAGAACGCCTGGAATATGATTCTGCTGGAAATATTAAAACTCGGATTGTGAAGTCTCCCTTTGTTCAGGTACTGTTCAGCAAGTAATCTTTGCATATAGTTCATTATGCTCAGTTGCCCAAGGTTCATTTTCTTTTTACAGCCCGTGCAGAAATTATTTTTCTATTGAAAAAAAAATAAATTAAAATCACATGTTCATTTATACATCAGATTCCTCTTGGAGTAACGGAGGACAGACTCATTGGATCAGTTGATGTTGAGGAGTCTGTGAAAACAGGCACAACTGTTTTCCAGCCAGGCTTACTTGCAGAAGCTCATAGAGGTGTTTTATATGTTGATGAAATTAATCTTTTGGATGAGGGTATCAGTAATTTGCTCCTTAATGTATTGACCGAAGGAGTAAATACTGTTGAAAGAGAGGGTATCAGCTTTAAGCACCCTTGTAGGCCCCTTCTCATTGCCACCTATAACCCAGATGAGGGTGCTGTTCGTGAACATCTGCTAGATCGCATTGCAGTTAATTTAAGGTACTGCTTTAATAAAAAAATTTAGGTTTCCACTGGTTCTCAAAGGAGGTACTGTGGGGATGAGGAGAATTGGTAAAGCATTTCAGGAATTTGGAATTTTTCTCTCCTAGTTAAATACCAAATAAGCATCCTTTAGAGTTTGATTAAAAATATCATGAAACCATCATCTGTTACCATCTGAACACACTGAAGCCATCCTCAAATGATGAAATTCTTTTACATGTGTTTTTTGCCTCTATTTCCTGCCCCAACGCTCCTTGATCTTTCTTATTTTTTTCTGTTTTTCTCTCTCTTCTCTCTTTCTGGCATCTGACATCATAAAAAGGGCCCTTTGAAAAGCTTTTGAAATTATCATGAATGAAAAAGACTAAATGGGTAATAAAATCCTGACTCAATACATATTTATGGAATGAATTATCAAAATTTTTTACCACCTCTTATTTCTTACTATGCACCCCCTTCTGCAGTGCAGATCTTCCAATGAGTTTTGAAAACCGTGTTGCAGCTGTTGGAATTGCTACAGTGTTTCAGGAGAACAGTAGTCAAGTATTTGAAATGGTTGAAGAGGAAACCGACAATGCCAAAACTCAGGTATGTTTGGGAAATAATAAAATTTGAATCAGAAAAGTGACGAACAAATAAATAAGAATAGAAATTTTATTGAATATTAATCTCCTTGAATCTCAATTAGGTTGATTGCAGAATAAAGAGAGAAATGGAAAAGCATCTCTCACAACTCCAGGAAATCTGAGTCCTTCCCAACCTCTTCTCCATATCCAAACCTATCTCTATTATTTCGATCCTACTATTTGTTTTTGTAATTTCTCCCTCTCCTATTTCAGTAGTATCTCTAACTAACTAACTGTTGATTCAGTTGTCAATGACTTGAACTGAGCATTGTTTACCGCTATCAGAAACTGACCCAACATCTCTTCCCCTGTAATCACCCTTATTCATCCTAACATACACCTTTTAATTTTGGTATGCTAACATTAAAATAAATAGTAAAATAATTATTTGTTAAGATGTCTCACATAGGCTATTAATGTGGCCATAATACTCCTTATAAGGCTTGGACAATTCTCCTTGCTTGAGCTAGGTTATCAAGTTTTGATGTTGGACCACTTGTAGATTCTAACCTTACAAATTTCATGCTCCAAATGTTCACTCCTGCAAACTTCAGGATCTTAT